ATAATGATGAGTGGGTAACAGCGTTCGTCCATCCATTCGTGCATCCATCCATTTGTCCAACAGTGGGTCGATCTGTCCATCCGTGCGTCTGTGTGTCTGTCTATCTGTATGTATGTCCGTCTAGTGAACACTCCAAGTACCACCATCTCAAATATTCTTTATATTATATTTAATATATTCAAGTACCACCATCTAGCGGACATTCCAACAACTAAACTTCCCTGTGTCACATACGAGAGAGAGGTGGTTAATACAGAGGGCGATCGGGGGGCGCCTCAATGAGCAGCTTTTCGTCGTATATTGATTATATACAAGTATCGCCGTCTAGCGGACATCCCAAGAACCTAACTCCCTGGGGCACACACACGAGAGAGGTGGTTACTACAGAGGAGCGTCGGGTGACGCTTCAAGAAGCTTCGCCCCTAATAAACGCTCAACTACGCCTGTTAAGACACATTTCACTTTCATGTTATACCGATTCTTATATTCGGGGATAGGCCGCATTTTTTTTAAGCAGAATCGCGTGAACAATGAGCGCTAGATGTGGTAGCGTGTACTATTCCCCAAAGGCAACAAGATCTGCCAATTATTCGAGTGCACGAATCACATGGAACGGTGAGCGTTATCTAGTGCGTTGATAACCTATTAATAGTGGTACAAAAAGGCACGTTTTGGCCTCCTCGATGCTTTCCACACGTATGTGTGTCACATTCACACGAACAAAAAAATAAATAGGGGAAAAAAATATAACGCAACAGTATCTAGTGCGCCTTGCAGAACGACACAGCTTCAGACAGTTGCTGCGCATAGCGCGTATGCGCATGCTTTTTACTGTTTCCCTTACGTGCTGCGTGTTCGGCGCTGTATACATGGAGATTACTTCAAGATAAACCCTAGTAAACAGTGTAGCCGAAGGCGCCAGCAGGTCGGTGTGCCTGGTGCGCCTGCGCATCGTCGGCAGACTCGTTACCTTTCGAGAATAGTGGACGTTACCATATTCCGCGCTTAACACTCCCACGGTACTGTAAATAAGATGGTACATAAACTCTGAAGCATCACAATGAAATTTGCCGTAAGCCTTATGAATCAGTATATGTATGCGAGGCCTATACAACATTCAAATGAAACAGCTATCATTGATTACCGCGAGAGTTCGGGCAAGCTCGTAGTTTATCGTCAAGAAAAATTTTCACAGCGTGAGAAAAAACATAAATGCACAAAAAAGGGAGCAGTTAGTAAACCACATTCTAAAATCCCTGATGAATACCTTTGTAAGTAGTGTTTTTTTTCTAGTAAGATAAAAACATGTGCTAGAATAGCGCTGCACATGCATTGAAGAAGTATACTACTGATCACTGAAACCGTGTTTTCTTTTGTGTGTGCGTGTGTGTGTGTGTGTGTGTGTGTGAAATATGCGACTTGAGTGCTCTGGAATTCGACCAAGAAGTTTTTCGCTCGATTGTTGAGTGGCAAACCATACACTTTCTATGCGTGCCTGTTTTTTTTTCTTATCCTGCATGTCCGTGCGCTTTTTCTCTTTTCTTTCTAACCCTCTACCCCATCCTTCTTTATTCTAACCCCCCCTCCCCACCCCTGCGGGTAGCAGAGCGGATGGCTGGCCATCCTCTTCATCTCTATCTTTTGCTCTCTCACACGCACGCTTGCCTGACTGACCTCCCCACATTTCCTCCTTTTCCTTTGTCTGCGTTCCTCGTTGACCACCATCGCGTTAATTTATGCATAAAGTTTTACTACAACAAAGACTTGGGGCTTTTGAAGCAGCCATTTCAATTTTCTACTAAACCTCTTGCCCTTCTTATACCTTACCTTAATTTTCTTATTTTTGAGAGAATAACCGACTAACGTCTGATGCAAACAGAGCCTCCCGAAAGGCCTCAGGATCTGGAAGCAATGCAGACGACGAGTCGCACAGTTACACTCACCTGGATGGCTCCGTACTCTGGGAACAGTCCAGTGTTGAAGTACCTGCTCGAGCACAAGTCTTCAACCGGTAAAATGCGTACTTCTTTACCACTTAAAATATACCTATGTAAGATGTACTTGCGTTGTGTGTTTTATGCCATGCATCAGAGTTCCGTGGCATTTTTAGTGGAAGACGAACTTTGTTCACGTAAAACAATAAAAAAATGGTAGAGATATATCTGCGTTGTGAGGTAAATGTGACGTATAACAGCTTGGAGTACATGCTGCCTGTCTTCTATGCAACTATAAAGTTTGCCAGCATACATATACCCCACTTATAGACGTCAGTGACAAAAAGGGGAAAAACAGGTTTCTAAGATCCACTGATTTAAACATTCCTTAATGTTAATTTGTTGTGCCCATTTGCGTTGCAATAACGACCAGTAAAAAAAAAATTTGTATTTATTTCTAAAACAGCTACTGTGCAATGGTTCCGCGATGAACACAGCTTAAGTAGCTATTAGGCTGCAGACAGGCACTACGTAGTGTGTGGTCTAGGAATGCGGTGACTCTTGCCAGAAGTTGCCGCTTTATATTATGATTCCATCTCGTCGAGCTAAATACTCATGCATAAATTAGAAGACCTAATTTTTCACTGTCAGAAAGTCGCGAGGTATAAACAATCTAACCAAAAATTCTTTTTCCGAACCTCATGCAAGATCCGCTTCTTTGCAACCAATTTAATATTACCTTCTTTTCTCTGTCTTGTCAGGTTCCTGGGAGTATGACACAGAGCTATCACTTGAAGACACCAGTAAGCTGTCGTACCTGGTTACGGGATTGCGGCCGTCAACCAGATATGAGTTCAGGGTCCGCGCTGGAAACGCACTCGGACTGAGTGACCACAGCGACCCTCTGGTAGTGACGACTGATCAAGAAGGTGTGTACAAGCTTTTGTTTTTTAAATTATATATGAAAAACACCGCCCAAACACTCAGTTTAGTTGGCTAACCGGTGAAGCGCAAATGTGCGGCCACGGGTGGTCGCAAAACTCGCAGCTGAAGCCAAAGTGCCGCTCGGGAAACTCCCGCCGAAAGCGAGCATCGGCCCAACGCGTTTCTGCCATTGCCATATCGACGCTCTTCTGCCTGCCGCACCTCTTCTTTGGTCCGCCTTTGTCACTTGCAACCGGCTCGAAAGCCTGCCAGATGCTCGCTGCGAAGTTGCTGCTTGAGTTGCTTCGCCACATGGGCCGTTCTGCTCGGAGTGCTGCATCGGCCCACGATTATGAATTTTCTCACGAATCAGCAGTCGGCGCTGGTCTGGGAAAGTTGTCTGCTGTTGCGCATTTGTACGATCGATTACCTCCACATGTAGACCTTGTACGTTGAAACTTCTGTGCGCGGGCTTGGTGGGATGACTGTGAATGAATGAGCGACGTCACTGACGAAGCAGCCAATGAAGGTCATTATCGCATCTCGTGGCGAACGGTTTTTCATTTCGCCTAGCCATGAATTCGCTCAAGGATCAGCCGTCAGCGCTGGTATTGGAAAGTTCTCTGTTGTTAGAGGTCGGCAAATTGGCCCGAGTGAAGTTGTATCGCTTTCACTGAAACTTCATTCACTATTACAACTTTCGCTGTAAAACTTCATTTATCCTGAAGGACCCTCGAGGCGTTTCTTTAGATTCACAAAAGTCAGAAAATTCTAACAGGACACACAAAAGTTTGCGCACGCTTTCTCATGGTTTTATGGCACTTCGCATAACAGGAGCACAATGCAAAAGGTTAACGCGGTATGCACAGAAGCTTTATTATACAGTTTCATTGAACACTGACGAATGGCTAGGAAGTGGCAGCTTCTACAATGCAAGTATGAATGGCAGAAGGGAACCAGCTGCTAGTGGAAAGGTTAACTCATATATGCATAACTCCGGATCAATTGTAATAGAAATGATTAAAAACGCCACATAGTAGGTGTCCTAAAAAACAACTGATTGAGTTTTGAAAATCAGTATGATTGCACAATGTCTGTGTATGCGTTTAAAACTGTTTTTGACAACGAGCTGTCACTTTTCATAAATAAATAACCAATATTGCAACAAATTCAACTAAGTAGACGTTCGTTTTATGTATAGCTCCAAGCGGCCCTCCTCGGGACATCCAAGTGACACCGACTGGTTCTCGGAGTCTACTCGTCTCGTGGAAGGTAAGGAATTCTAACCGCTTCATACTGCAAGCCCCATAGTGACAGTGGTAAATGCATGCCTCTGGACATTCATCAGGTGTAATCATCAATAACTGAAAAAAATATATGTTGATGTCTCCAGTAAGAGGGAAACAATGCGACATTTTATTTTCGCTATTCATTTGATGCGCCTTGTCATCGCATCAACTTGTTTTCTGCATTTCTACGTACGGTAATTACGTACGATTATGCAGGAAACAGGAAATCATCTTTTTTTTAAGACGGGCTAATGAGGTAATACACTGTATTGCAGTGAAGGGTGGTGGAAGTGTCTCATTAATGTACAGAGCCTGCAATTCACTACCCGAGAACGAGCTCAGGCTGCGGATGCTTTAGAGTGGCGGAACGTTCACCTATGATATGTGGGGTTTAACGTCCCAAAACCACCATATGATTATGAGAGACGCCGTAGTGGAGGGCTCCAGAAATTTCGACCACCTGGGGTTCTTTAACGTGCAGCCAAATCTGAGCACACAGGCCTGCAACATTTCCGCTTCCATCGGAAATGCAACCGCCGCAGCCGGGATACGAGCCCGCGACCTGCGGGTCAGCAGCGGAGTACCTTAGCCACTAGACCACCGCGGCGGGGCGGAACATTTTCGACGATGCTCCAGCTTTTATCAATGCAATCTTGTATTTGGAGAGAGCGTATCAATTCCGCTGTCGCGCGCCCGTATACGTGCCAATATCCCTAGTGCTATATGTTCTGTGACAAACTAACAGTTAGCGAAGGTTCAAGTTTCCTTTACAGGCCACACGTGTCAAACATCCGTCGAAGCGAACGTATAGGCAGCGCTGTTTGTTTGTTACAACGAACCCGACTCCAAGGAGTGTATCCCCATCCTGCCGTCGAGCAAACGCGCTGCCACCAACGTCTCCGGTCTGCTACTCTGTTTCCGTTATCGCTGTTCACCGAGCACGACGTCTCGTCTCATATTACTTGGTTTTCGTGGCAATGAGTTCTTGCTGAGAAGTGCAAGCTCACATGGGAACGGACATGCGACGTGTACGACGGGTGAACCTCGCATCGGACCTGCGGTCAACGTCCAGTGTGAAGCTGTGCCGGTGCGGGAGGTGCGTTCGCTTTCGTTTATGCCCGATCTGCGATCGGGCTTGCTGCGCCGGAATATGGGGAGGCCCGCAAATTTCAAGATACCACTGCAAGCGACCTGCCCACGGGGCTTGTCATATAGAGGTGGGTGAAGAGTGATCTACTCATTTAGTTCATGTAGAAGATTGAACGAAGTGTGAGATCAATGGGACCTTTTGTTTTGTTTTTCTGGCCAGAAATGCAGTCCGATTCACAAAGCTCACCACATGCAAAAGTTCAAGCATCATGCCATTTTAATGCGATACCATTAAAGAGCTCTTTTCTCAGAAATTTCGACTTCTGTGTCGTTGGTTGCGAGCGAAAAAAGATCATTTTTTCTTGACTGAAAAATGGAGAAAGATTCAAATAAAATAATTCATAAAATATTCTGCGTTTGAATGGAGTCGAACGCGGATGTCTTGCGTGGCAAAAGTGGCCGTTGTACCACCCAGCCATGCGTCTGCTTGAGTGAAGAGTAAAAATAACTCCCCCTTTTTGAAAATACCGTGAAAGTAACTTTCATGCTTTACCAAACACACACGTTTTGTATACATGCTTCACAATACAAACCGAAATATTGTCGCAATATTGCGAGGTAAGGCTATTTATATTTGCCATCGGTCATGAGAACATGGGATTATCATAACGAATTTATAGTTTAAAGACAGTCACGCACTACAAAATGAAAACACGCTAATGCACCCTGAAGACTCCATAGGTGTGTGTATATAAAGTTCGAAAAGATTTCATTCGCTAAGTGTTTGAAGTGCACACTAGGAAAAAAAAAATACCGCGATCACGTTCAACTTTTAAAGGCGAAGCTTAAGGGCCCCGCAATTTTAAACTTGTTTCATTGTGCTCTTTCTTCTTTTGTTTAATTTTCATTTCTTACTTTGCGTAACGGCTTGTTCTTTCTTTTGCTGTTTGTTGCAGAACCATACAAACGAGGTAACTGAGGCAATAAAACTTCAGCCCTTCCACACGAGCAAGTTAAAGCAGAACAGATATACAGAAAGGTTGACGTCTTATTTGAACATGGTTCATAAATACAATAATTCAAGGCAGTTACACCTCCTTAAACTACGGATATCGAAGGGTGCGACTGACAGGAAGCATAAACGCCGCACAGAACTGCCGTCATCGACGCATGCTTCCTGTTGTACTGCTCTGTCATTTGGTTCATTAAGTATGTTCTTGTATTTGTATTTTGTGAACAATTCAAAAATTTCACTTTTTGTACTGCCCCCTTACACTATGCCTCAACGGAGGCCTGTAAGGTATATTTAAATAAATAAATAAATAATCTAACATTTAAACTATGACACGTACCCACTTCACAGCTTTTTTTTTTCACTCTATCTTAATGTTTAGTGAAGATTCATAATTTGGTTCACGTGCCTATGACGTTTTGTATTAGAAATCTACTCATTCCGCGAGCCTTGTATCCTGCATTCTACTCCTGTGGCATGAGTCTGTTTTCAACATGACATTGTTTCTTTTTCTTCAAGTATTGGTGTACTTGTCCACATAAGAACACCCACATTAAATTATTCTGATTATTAAAAGCCGTTCAGCACCAGTTATGCTAAAGTGAAAGTCAATCCCTGCTATTTGGGAAAATTTTCATTGCTTTTTTCCCACCTCTTTTGTAAAAAACACAAATACAGTAAAATAGGTCACTCTAACTTTTCTAACTTTGTTTCGGAACCAACCTGATATGGATGGATGTTCAGTGGCACTACTGCTTTATATTTTTTGGATGAGCGGTGTGGCTTCGTCTCGGTCCATATAGTTTGCTACTATTGGAGCTCTCGCGCTGATACAATAAATTAGCGTGCCCACATGCCTTCTTTTCAGTGAGAGTGGCTGTGGCTATCGCAATCACTTGCACGCTGTTCCTGTGCCTGCTACCACGACGTGGTGCTTTCAAGACAGCTCTGGAATCGGTGAATTACGAAGAGATTCGTGTCAATGTGCTCGCCATACGCGACCGCGCAGCAAGGAACGCAAGCTACGCGACCTCACGCAGTGTTGCCGAAGATACGACACTGGCTGCGAACAGGCACTTCGTGGTGAACACAGCACAATGCAAGATCCCGAACATTGATCCCCTCGACCCCTCCATAGCGGCGTTTGTGAGCAAGTCGTCGCCCGTGGACTGTTCTTCGGATTTTCCGAATATAACGTTTGTAAAGGTAATAACCTCTCAACATTTACAAAATATGTGCACATTGCTGTTGTGTTCACACATATATTGCAGGGCAGGAATTGGCATTATTATTGTTAACTATAGATGAATCGTTTAGTGCTGAAATTAGGCCTGTGAATGTTTGTTCATGTGCCAATAGTGTACTGCTTTGTGATCATTGAAAATTTCAAGGCGAACACTGCCATGAAAGAGGATAGAATCAGCTGGAGCCATACCTCCAAGAACCAACTCCTTACAAAACACATTTATTTAAAAAATAACGTTGGGCGTTTTATCGGCGAATATTAACAAAAAATCACACCATCTTTCTCGAAAGGGAACCATGTGTAGATTCGAAGCAGCGGGTGCAAACTCTTATGCCTCGTTCACACTGAAGAATCCGCTTGTTTCGCGAGCAGAGTTCGCCTGCCGCCGAAACACAGAGTCGTTCGCACTGCATGGACGCGCCCAATGTCGCTGATTTTCACAGTGCGCCATACAATATACCAAAGGGTGAGCGGGGTATGGATGCTTTTTGGCGGCTCGCAGACGGCCCGCTACGCCATTATTATAGTGAACTAGAATATGGCCGGTTGGTTTGGGAATCTCGTTGTGTAAGCTTCAATGCTCCACTTTCACGCATTTTCACTGCTTTAAACGACTACGCTAGCACCTGAGCAGGAAGCAGCAGTACCGCTTCCCTAAAATAACTAGAGGGGTCTTTGGTGCTGCAATAGTTCGGCGAATGACGAGAAGTACATGGATTTCCTTGTCTTCATACTTGCGTGTGGTCAATCGCACTTGTGGCGCCATTTATTGCTGTATTTCGGTTTTGTTTTGAAGGAAAGAACGAACCCGTTTGAACTTTCTGACCCGATTTGAAATGGTAAGCCTGAGAGATTAAGGTGATGAAGTGCAAAAGCTGGACATTCGCTGATTTTTGTTTCGTGACAGAACAGCTCCAAGCCACACGAACACATACGCAGCCAGAAGTACAAAGATTAGAAAAATACGGGTACTACCCATCGTTCCCATGCTTGCTGAAACGCCGTGCGTTGCAGCTTCCATAGACACTAGTGCCAGAGTTCCCTGTAGTGGATATATAGGGAACTATATAGAGGAGGGGGTGTGGGGAGGGGCTAAATAGAAGAGAGACAAGGGTAAGGGATGCGCAACGAGCGCGTAAAGCTAGATTCACACGCGAGAGCTAAATCCCGCTGCTACGCGGATCGAATAGTCACGTGATTAGTTTCATCCGGCGCAGCAGCAGAGTCGTCGCATGCACACAGCCGGAGCTACGCTCGCGGAATCCTCGTGCATACCCTGGACTCCTTTGTGGTCATGCAGGCCACGCGCTGTAAATGAAAACTACGAATTCACCACCAAAAACTACTCGCCTCTTCCACTGTCACACGAAATACATTTGGTCGTTGCTGTAAAACTAAAACATGTGGATTTAAAGCCGGCAGCCTGCTTCCCAGCCACGCCAATCCGACCAATGTTGACAGATTTGACGCTGAATCCTCTCGATCAAGAGCAGACAACCGCCAAACGGAGGGATCGAAATAGCGGTGACACATTCCCATCCGTGCCGCGACTGGAGGAGAGCAGATGAAGCGAGGACGGCACGTTTCGATGACGCACGCGTCACGTGATCCGCCGTCCGCTGCGAAAATTCCTCCTCCGTTCCCTCGTGTCAGTCCACCTTTAACGCTGCTGGGAGGAATTTATAGAGGATCAAAATGGGGGCGAGTGTAGGTTAGCTCACGCTGCCTGCGTCGACATTGCGAGGCAAGAGAGGAGAGTGTAGGAGAGGACCCACATGCTCAAGTGTGGTCACGCCGCACACCGGATTTAGTACGACCTTAATCTGCTTCGCATCTAAAAAACGTTGCGCTATGCCTCTTAATAATAACTATGAACATGAATGTTCCTTTTAGCTTAATGCTTTATCATTAGTCTAACCTTAACATAGGCTAACCTAACAAGAGCACGAAAAGTTTATCACACGCCTTTGTGTGCCCTAAGAAAAAGGTTCCTGTGACTCTTTTAGGGGCGAAGCAACGCAGGGTTTCGGATTGTCGGTGAGTGAAATCGAAGTCGCCGTTCACTGTGAACAGGCATGCACAAAAGGATAAAAATTGAGTGAATCGTACAACTCACCGCCGGCCCACACTGTGCATATCATAAGTTAACGGCTCATCCGTACAGCCTAGACCATTATGGTTAGCTTAGCGGTGGCGTCAGTTTCTCCGATAAAATATACCAAGGACCTCAAGTTTGTTATCTGCAACGATTCGTCTCTGCGATAATTTCGTTTATTTTGAGAGCAGTGGCTTGCGACGTGCGTGACTTTTCATGAAGCCTCAACAAGCAATGGCGGGTGGACTCCGAAATGGCACAAAACTCGGTTTTGTATACGGACGGCTCACTTCTCTTTCATAGCTGAGTACGAAGTACTCGAAATTGTTGAACACTTCCTCTAAAGACATACTTTGATTCATCAAAATTTTTTTTTCTAAACACACACAGAGAGCTCTTTAAGAGTTGACATGTTTCTGCTTTTGATAATTTTGTAGCAGTGTGCAGTGTTTTATTGAAGTCTGTGTAAAATTGCATCTATACTTGAGACAACTTTTATTCGCGATGAAGGAAAGCTACGGGGGTGGAACTTCTGCACGTGTATTCCTACGCGAGGGAGTCTGGTTAGGCACACGTCGTCTCCCACGACTGTGGAAAGGGATAGCTTGGCGCAAACCGCGTTGTATTTCGAAGTAAACACCGCTCGCCGTTCGAGGTACGAAAAGAAGACGCGACTTTCTCACGCACGTGAAAACGCAAAGAGACAGTGATAAAACTAAAAGAACGGAAACATTTCACTGGTGTCTGCTACGTGGTGTCTAAAAGAGCTACATGTACGAAATGATGATGTATTTCAGATACCCCACGCAGAAGAGAAAGTGAGTGCATATCTCCGATGATGAGTTGGGCGAAGCGTCCATCCGTCCATTCATTCGTCTGTCCTCCCGTCCGTCTGTCCATCCATCCGTCGCTCCTATCACACTAAGTCAGGCATCAGACGGAGGGACAGACGCTTCGCCCCACTTATCATCATTCACTTCGGGAATATGGTGTAAATTTTTTATTATAACAGCGCCATCTATCATCTTTAATCATGAACTATACGAAAACCACTACCACCATCTAGCGATATTATTTTGAAGAATATATACACAGAACAAAATCAACTGAGCAATTTTTAAGACTAACTAGAAGTGGCCACTACAACATACTACGAGGGAAAGACCCACACCCAAAAAAGCTTCGACCCTAAAACAGACTCATTTGTGAGACTACATTCATTAGCGACAAGATACACGCGACTTGGCTTTGAAGCCTTCACTACATTTCCAAGAAAAGTTGTTCATGAGAATGATGCAATTTGAAAGGGTTTCAACTATAAAGGTCTCTAGTGTTTGTGTATAGTAGTTCAATAAACGTTCCTTTGCTAAACTCTCTTTGGGCAGTTATTATACTCTCTTTCGAGAGCAGTGTAACCCACTAGAGAGTAACGTGACTCTGTAAATTGAGTCATATAGGTGGAAAGCTTCAACTACCCGGAAGGAGTAACACATGCTTTTTTTTTCTTAAATGTGGCGCCTAGTCTATCTTCAATGCTCGACCTCATGTGAGCGTCTTTCACTCACAGATTTTGCATGAAATGCTTTAAAAATTCCCCTGCACCCGTTTCATTCTAGGATAAGCGGATCTATATAAATGCAGCTGTCATAGGGCGAGTACTTCAGCAGCATTCTCTGGAAAATGTCCACTGCTGTTATCGACCTTTCTTCAGAAACCTGAAGCCTCGAAGTGACAATGACGTTGTGTGAGTTGCCTCCTTTATTACAGTATATTTCCTGTCGTTTTCACACATTCCAATACATGTTTTCATTAAAATAATTGTCTCGTTATATAAAGAAAAGCTGCAATAACCCAAGAAGTGTGAACTTAAAATGCCAGCAAGTTACTTATAAACAGCTTCCAAATAAAGAATAAGTAGGGTGCCGTTCAGGGCAGTGGGAACAGCGCTTGTAATAATCTGAACTGAACATTTTTGATCGGCAATAGGAATACGGTGCCGATAAGAAGACAGGCATAATTGAGAATTCTCGGTCACGTTTAATAACGTAACTTCCGGAAGAACATACTAATAGGTGTGTTCTACTATTAGATGCCCACTTTGCTATTAACGCTGCTCGTTCATAAGTAAGCGCTATAAGAGTAATGAACGGAACAGCAGGATATCATGGAGAAGAGGGCAGTAAACACAAAGAACATACCCTTTTGCACATGATTTTTTCATGGGCTAGCAGGTGTTAATCGGACTAACAGTTAGTACCTGCTTTTTTACGCTGTGTTGACAAAATGTTCATGAAACATCTATCTAACCTAAGAACACGTGAAAACAATGACGTTTTCTTTGTCTGTGAAAGGTATGAAAGCGAGATATTTCACTGTGTAATTGATTACTACTACTGCATTTATTTTTCGGCAGGTTTCAAAGTGAGTGCATCCTTTTCCAGGACGGCACTAAGGCAACTCACGAGTTTGTCAAAGTGGAGTGCTACAACAAGGCAACACTGTTCTACGTCAACTACCACGCTTTCGTTTATCCCAAGAAATCGTACCAGCATCGATTCAAGGAACTCTACAAGCCAGAGCATCCCGGTTACCAGTATAGCGTGCTCATAATCGGCGTCGACGGCGTATCCCGCCTGAACGCCCACCGCCAGTTCCCGAAAACAGTCGGATACCTGAAAGAACGCATGGGCGCCGTTGAAATGTACGGCTACACAAAGGTGGGCGACAATACTTTTCCCAACCTCGTCCCTCTTCTGACGGGCCTTACCGAAAAAGAGTTGGCCTTCGAAGTCTGGGCGGAGGGCGAATACCTAGACAGTCTGCCCATGCTGTGGAAGTCTTTCGCGGCCAACGGCTACAGCACACTCTATGCTGAAGACAATCCGACTCTCTCTACCTTCAACTACCTCAAGGAAGGCTTTCTTAACCAACCTACAGATTACTACCTCAGGCCGTTCTTGAGCACGTGCGAGCGCGAGACAGGTCACCGCAAGCCCCTCAACTGTTACCACTGTGTCGGCGCCCAGTCAGAAACAGAAATCGTGCTCGATTGGCTTCGTTCGTACAAAGAACTGATGTTAAGGTGGCCTTCCTTCGCCTTCGTCTGGGTTAACAGCGCCACCCACGACGACTTTAATGGCGGATCAAGCGTGGACCATCTCTACAGGTCTGCTTCTTTATATATATGCTAGTTCGAAAGAAAGTGCCAGCAGCAGTAAGATATAGAAAGTTCTGAGATTCAAAGATAGCTTGTAGATGCATAGTTCATTTCAGGGAGTTGTGACCTGACTTTAGTTTGACACATACAAAAGACAAGTTGTACTCTAACGGAAGGAAGGCGAGTAGTTTTTTCGAAGTGTTTTCCTGTCTAGATTTTTCTTTTACTGTTTCTTTGTCCACCCGCCAACATGTATTTGTTAAAATTTTCAAGTAATTCTTCTTTCACACGTTATGTGACGTTACCTCAGTTTTCTGTCTTAACACGTTAGTACAGCCGCGTCCACGTCTGTGTTGAGCACGCGAACAGCCGGTTTTTGCTCTGCGGGGCGAAACCTTGGGGCAGTATCAGGCTCTGACGTGGTCAGCCTGACAACTAGGTCATGCATGCTCCTGATACACCACTTCAGAGCCCGAAGCTGCCTTAGGGTTTCGGCCCGCAAAGCGAAACCTGGCTGCTCTAGAGCTCTCTAAAGACGTGGCCGCAGCTTTACATATCTTGCTATGGATATTACACGTATTAGACTACACTAAAAAACAGCTACGTCAATGAGCCTACCCACATCGCAATAGACATTACTTGTCGTAGCAGTCCTATTCGGTACAACCTGAAATAATACGGTGAAGATAGGGAATCGATAGCGAGAAGTAATTTATCGGAAGTCTTTCAACCTCAGAAATATTCATAGTTTGCTTACTGGAAAGCATCAGCAAGCACACTAGAAGCAAGATTGAGCAACTGCATTGCCATAAGAGCACTAACGCTTTAGAATTACACAACACAGTAACTTGCTTAAGAAATACCGTATTGACATGAGCTTGAAACTACTAGTACACTTAATCAATCCTTTTCCTAACAGATTTTTCACTCAGCAATATCAGTGCCAATGATAACATCGTCATTTTCCTGTAACCATGATCATGCGCAGGATTACAACGACCCTCTCCCCTAATTAGTCAATGCGTGAAAACTTCGAGCCTTCCCCTCTCTTAGGTGAAGGGGAGAGCGCTCCATCTACCATTCCCCTATATCCCCCCCCCCCTGCCTGCCTGTGATTTTAACTATTGCCTCCTTCGATATCTGCTGCTTATTTTTCAGGTCATTCTTGGAAAACCTACACCAAGGAGCCTACCTGCAGAATACAATCGTGCTCTTTATGAGTGATCACGGCTTTCGCTGGAGTCCCATAAGAGAGACTCACGCCGGAATCCTCGAGGACAGGCTTCCCTCTCTGTTCATTAGCTTTCCCCCAACGTTCCGGCGCCATCATCCGGAGATAATGAGGAACGTTCACGTCAACGCCAGGCGTCTAACGACACCGTTCGACCTGCACACCACTCTGGCGTGTCTCAGCAACTTCGACGGCAAGCCGAGACCCCTGGACCTGGACGACTACCCGGACCATCTGCACTCGGCCGTGCTGGAAAGGGCGCTCAACCTGTTCGGCGAAGTTCCCTACAATAGGACTTGCGAGGAGGCCGCGATCGACGGCCATTGGTGCGCTTGTAGAGAGAGCGTGGTCGAGGATCCCAAGAGCGACGCCGTTGCACGAGCTGCGTCCGTATTGATCGACAACATCAACGGATTTATTGCTTCTCACAAGAGCAGGTGTGCTAGTCTCAAGCTGGCGTCCGTGAAAAGCGCTCGCACATACCTGCGTGGCTTGGCTGCAACAACTTCGCTAGACTACGTGCTTCAAGTGGAAACCGCACCAGGAGGCGCTGTTTTTGAGGCCACCGTGCGAACGTATAACAACGGGAAGCCTGCGAATTTACTCGGGGACGTGTCGAGATTAAACTTGTACAGGGGTGCTGCGGACTGCATAGAAATTGCGCACTTGAAGAAGTTTTGTTCTTGTATTACGGTTCACGAGAAACCTGGTCAATTAAACAGCGTTGATAAGAGCTAAAATGGTGTGCGTGTTTAGGAATGATATAGAGTACTGGTGACATATGTGGGCGCAATAAGCGCAGGAGACACTTGTCCAAAGGTAGTATTTTATTCATTTTAGTTCATATTAGGGTATCTGCCTTAAAGTTACTGTATATCTGCTGCTTAAACTTTCTGACAACACGGCTCCTAAACAAACTTCTGCATAGCCTTCACGCTTTGAATGTCGATCAAGACAATACAGAGTTTCAAATTTTGATCAGATCGGCACACTGCCAAGAGCAATCCAACGAATGGTACTTAGCGCACTCACACCTTAGTTATTGATGCAGCTAATTCTCCCAGTCGCAGATAATGCATCTTGGAATGATAAAAACAATCCACTTTCTATTAGCTTTTTGATATAAACATATATTACCACTGACCAAAAAATATATTAACATACCTTGAATAAGGCTGAATAAGATGATGTGCTGTGTGACACCGGCTGTAACCTGTAAGCGATGTTATGCACGAAAAATAAAAGCGGTAGCAATCTTTCGCTTTTTAAAGAGTGCGAATTGGCATTGCGATTTCATTTCGCAAATCTTTCACTGACTACTTTCCCACTCATTAAAATGGAGACTGATACAACCTTCATCAAGGTAATCAAAATAAGCTGGTCCATGGGTTTTATTATTTGCCCACAATTCAAATGAATGTAGATAAACGAAGAAAACCTCGTCGAACTACTTTATGCTGTACTTAATACACATGTGAAGAAAAAAATGATAAGCAGCAATGCGAGACCTCATACAATTTATTTGGTTTCGTTGATGTTAAATACAATTCAATTGTTTTCGAGGGGGGGGGGGGTCGGAGAAGATCAATTGCGATTCCACAAAATATCTGTTCACTGAGCAGAATATCCCGTCAATATGGCACACCAGACCTTGGAACGCTACACTGCGACTGACGATCAGCTTATGGTCTAACCAGCTCAGGCAATACGGTAATGCAATGTACTGTATAGTGTACAATAAATAGATTCGGTTGGGTCTTTTGTGTTATGTTCATTTCGACAATTCGAAGACTAAATAGAACCCCAATTCACCATCCAAGGATGGGTAGTATCTTTGTATTCTGCTCGCCAATGAGTCTTGGTGCTAAACATGAAGAACACCTCTTTCCGCGTTTGTGGTAATACACTTCAACAGGAACATATCAGCGACATTGCGGATTGGACAAAGGGGTTTATACAAACCAGGGAAGATGGGGCGCCAAATCACTCAAAGATAAGGAACGCTCATTTCATTATAGAAGATTTCTTCGCGAGGATCTTAAGTCCCAACGAAGTCACCGAGGGAGTGTCTCATTCTCGAACTCAATGTGTAGTAATGCTCTACGGTGCCCCAATAACCGTTTGGTTAGCGAAAACTCACTGGTTGGACAACCTATAACCTTCAATTTTGTGCACAACACGGACATCAATAGGCCATGATGTGGACGGTGGCACCAACGCACGGAAACACATTTTGGTTGCTCTAGCTAGAAGGCTGATTGGCGGTGCCAGAATTTAGTACCACGAATAAGAACGCCCGTTCATTGCCACATGTGTCGGTGCGCTCACGTAGTCGCGAAGCACCTTGTTCCACGGACCCTCATAATGCACTCGTTCTGCAACAGTGTGCGTGATGATAAGGCTAGATGATAACAACAGAAGTAATATAGATGGCCTTGGTCCTCAAGAGGCTCTAGAAGCTGTCTTAGTTCTATTGGTACGTAAAGCGAGACGAGACATAACTATTTGCGTGTGTATTTATTTACACTGAACAAGGTGGAGCACATCTAGCACGCACAGTAGACAGGCCAGTCCACTTTATCGTGTTCTTTACCTTCTGTGCAAGAAATGTCTCCCTCTTGATCTGATAGCTACGTAGCATATCTTCCAAAGAAGACAGCGCACCGGAAAATGAACCCTTTAAATATTACAAGTTCGCGAACAGGTAACGTCGCTGGAAAGAACATTTCGACAATAGAAAAATGTCTTCACTGCATTGCTGCACTGACGAAGACAAGCTTACTTTTGTGAGCAATGGCTTACGATAATAGTTGCTAGTTCTGCTTAGAGTAAGCGTGTTGAGGCACTTTCTTTGCGGAGTTCTTTGTAAAATTTTCTACTAACTCGTTTCTTTTTATTTTCTTTGTCCTTGGGGGGAAGAGGCTTATTCCCAATTTTCCAGAAAATATAGTAATTCTAGTGGACAGCATGTTCAACAACTTGTGTTTGTTGTACACTGGTATTGTGACTGAGTAGTTGAGTGTGTAGGCGTGTACAGCGTTCCCCATCAAGTATGGCGAAGGCTCACTGAAGTGCCCTCGCCCCAACCTCTGATTCTACTTAGCGAATGTATGGAGCAGGCTTAGCCCCCCCTGATGCCCCTCCCCCATGCGCACGCCTATTATTGAATGTCGAAGTCAAATATAGTTTGGGGGAACAAACAAGTGCTCGGAAACGTGCCTTCAACCGAATGGCGACTTCTCTGGAGACAATGTTAAAAAGTAGTTATTTGCTTTCCTTCCATACGGGTGCATATTTTCGCTGTCTGAAGCAATTAGGTGACTTAAACTATCCTTCGTATTTGGGTGGCACTTTTATTCATAATTAAAAATATTTTCGAGAATAAAAAAATTTCAATGTGTTTCCGCTTCTTTTGGGATTCTTTTGTGATGAGCACTTGCTTGCTTACTCGGCAGCCTTTGGCAACACTCCATCAAATGCAGCACCTGCTTGATGATATTAAAAGACCTCCAAAGGCATATTGCACCTAACAATGGTGTGATATAGGCATGAGTTAGCACGGCTATGGCATTCTTTTTCCTCTAGCGCAAAATGATGCACGGCGTCATTGCGTTGAAAAAGGCCCTGCGGCTCCTTTTCATCGTTCTCAGAACACGCGCCCGATCGGTGGTCGAGACTTCTGAAAACAAGCTAGCCAAACATTCTAGCGCATCACGCAGCCTGGAACCTAAATTTTATTTTCAAAGTACGCTGGGACCCGCTCCTTCTTTCTACAACTGACGTCATATCCCCGAATGACTGCGCCATATACCCAGATTCACGGGATTGGTTGGTGCAGTATCGTGTGCTGCATAGTTACCGATGTCACTACGTGATGCCGTTCCATGCCTGCGCGGGCGCTCGCAGTCACTATGATTGTAAGACGCGCGGTCTAAGAGAGAAAAAGCCTCCAAGGTCATGACGCTCACATGACGCCACTGCTTTCCCTCGCGCCTCGCGCCATCTTCCCTGCTAAGCTCCTGGCGAGCTCATTGGGAAGAGAGAAGAAAGCAACCTTAACAGCACACGACAAATGTCTGTCACTCCGCTCGTACTAGACGAATTCTTCAAATGTTCATGGTGATCAATTCGAGAGGCAATCAACTCCCATGAAGAAGCCATTCAATGCTTATTTGAAAAAGCGTTGCAGGGTATTTTTAAGGTAACCGCCCTCAGGCTAAGAGAAAGTATGGTAGTTGGCAGGAAACGTTCTTTTAACCCATGATTGATGACGGCACACATACTCTGTTCGAGTAGCGGGCAAAGGTGTGCCCTTACTTGTGTGTCGTGTATTTCAGGGTACATCCTACTACCTCCATTTATATCGAAATTTGAAGCGAAATGCGTCCAAAAATCTTTAAAAAATAAGGGCTGTGAAATCTTTGCTCGTTGCCTTCATAATTATTTTCTGTGAAGCAACGAACATCTTACGATGACTAAATACATACGTAACGCCAGTAATAACAATTAATACAATTATAAAGTATAAGTAACATTTTTTTAGTGGAAATAGGCTGCCAGGTAAAATCTGAGAATTTTAGATCTTCCTACAAAGAGCCAATGGCGGCTTTAAGATTTCAGAAATATAACATCTGCCATTTGCTGCGGGATAATAACGTTCTACTGAATTCACCGATAAAATCAAACCCGAAGCACAAGCAACAGATGGCTAGAATGCCGTCGCTGTTAAATTGAGAACCACTATAGCGGCGTTCGTTCTCCAGCGTTCACTAACGTACGTGCATGATCGGACATACATAAGCTCAAGCACGCAATCACGTGCTGTAATCACAAGAATTTTGCATGGTGTTGATGATTGTGATGTTGCAGCAGGTGGGATTAGCCTGACCTACATGGGGAGCAGTCGTTCCTCCTTAGCATATCCTGAATCATAGGCGTCTGTTACCATGTGTTGAATCACCCCGTGTCTCGCAAAAAAAAACCATCAAAATTCGTAGGAGGCTTCCCATTGCTGCGGGCCCTCCGGGAAAAATGACATCTTCAATTGTGTGGTTCCTGTAACAACCATTTTGCAAGCTGAGGACCATAGCTGCTCCCTTCATATTAAACTTCGGCCAAAGCCAAATAAAATGCTAAGTATCAGCGATGTCCACGCAGCTAGAAGGCACAAAACGGGGATGTGCTTCCCCATTATATAGTCTTGACTCAGCAATCCGTGTAGTACGTCGATGCTGTTGTACCTTATGTGGTACAACAGCATCGTCTGCTCTCGAAAAAGACCATGGTATACACATGTTTATTACTGCCATAAAGGTTGGACCACTCAGTGTACAATCTGACGATTTCGGTTCTCTAAGTAAACTGAGATCTCTAGTCGCTTGGCGAGCTTATGCTGGCTTTACGTTCAACTAATTACCGATTTGTGCTCGAAATATGGTCCTAGTTCCGTTGTATATGACAATGGTGATGTTTGATTTAGTCCGCAATTGTGCCAAGTTGCTCAATAGCTGATTTAAAAAATAATAAGTAAGCAGATTTCACAGAACCTCATATAACTTGGTAGTTTCGGTAGCATAATACGCAATGGTTTTGGAAAACGTAAAGAAAAAAATGAGAGAAATCATTAATGGCTACGCGCAGTACAAGGAACGCTTGGGGAAGGCATGGGATAAGAACTACATAGCTCAGTCTTTAATATTGTCATCCTTTACCACTCTCAGGAACCGCCAGAGGAGGACACGAACGGTCCCGTGCAAGGTTACTACGTCGGTTACCGCGTTCGGGGCAGCGGCCTGCCGTATTCATATAAGACCCTGCAAAGCAGTGCTCAATCGTCTCCTGGTGAGAATCAGCATCAAGAGTGCCACCTGCGTGAACTTCGGCCTCGCACCCGCTACACCATAGTCGTTCAAGCATTCAATGCCAAAGGTGCCGGCCCGGCATCAGAGGAGGTGGCGGTGCAAACGCTTGACTTCGGTAAGTTTCCATTTTCTTGTGCACATGTCTGTGAGAAGGCACGTCACATCGATGTATATACAATCAAGGCCGTGGTACAATGCACTGTTTGTTGACTGAATCGCAATACTTGTAGCGGGCGGCTCCTGGCAGACAGGGTGCTGGTTTGGATGAGAGTGTTCGCGACAACCGGGACTGCGTTAGGTAGACAACCATTTAGTCTGCAGCTACTTATGGCTCTGGCAGAAGTCCTATTGACATGACTTCAAAGCAGAGCGCTCGCGTATCACGAAGCGTGAAACGGCTCGAGAGGGTGGCGTACGTTACGAAGGATGGCAGCGCTCCACCTGATCTATACCGAGAACTACAGTTTAGCAGAGGCTGTAACCATGTGCCACGAATGCGCTTGTCTTTATCACCAGCAGTGACGAGTATCATGTTTCAATCACTAAGCACTCTACAATGACAATAAACCACTAATGATTTAATTATATTCCCACATGTGATTGTGCAAGAGCGTGTTTTCTGTATAGTTATCTATTGCCGCGTGCATAGCTGCATTTAGCGGCGAGATAGCAACGACAACGAAGAACGCGGATTTGCTCGAGAGGCGCAGCGCAGGCGAGTGAAGAAGACGACAATCTTAGCGGCCTTCTCTGAGAGCGTCTCTACAAGTTCCACTGTCCCTGTTTTTAAATAAACCCCCTGTAATTTATAACCCACGACACTGGTGGAGGTGCTGGGTATCGATCCCAGTACCTCTCGCACCATGCCACCAGTGTCGCGCGCGGAGAAGGAGTGTC